CACATAGGAACAGTTAGAAAAAGTTGTATGTACTATTACATCAGACATACACAAAGAAGCTCAAACTCACAAATATATTTACAGTGTAAACTGGCTGTCATCTTTAATCAGACTGTGTAAAATCACACAAACATGGATGACCAGCTACAAACACTCATTTGGTGTGTCAGTATGTGGTTGTGGCAACTGATTTAACTTTTTAACCACATGTAACCAATAAACACAGGGCAGACAGAACAAGACTGGAAAATCCCTCTTTTTCTTTCTTTCTTTCTTTCTTTCTTTCTTTCTTTCTTTCTTTCTTTCTTTCTTTCTTTCTTTCTTTCTTTCTTTCTTTCTTTCTTTCTTTCTTTCTTTCTTTCTTTCTTTCTTTCTTTCTTTCTTTCTTTCTTTCTTTCTTTCTTTCTTTCTTTCTTTGCCTGCACTATCAAAAAGTGGCCTTTAGCCACTTTGAAACCTTTGTAATGCCAATTACTTTCCATTTTTCGGGACCAAAAAGACATCAAAAATGACTTTCAATAAAAAACAAACAAAAAAATAACAAAACATGCAACAGACTCAAGAGTCAGTTGCCATTTTAGAAGGTTTTATGGGCTTGTAGTTGTAGAAAATTAATCCAATAGAGCTAGTCTGTGTCATGATCTTGGCGCTGGTGACAGGCTGGATTACTCATTTCATTCACCTGCCTAACTCCGCCTACTTTCTCATTACAGTTCAGCTGATTCACCTGGTCCTGCTTTTACTTAACCAGCCGTATAACCTGTCATCAGTGGCAAATTATTCTCGAGTCAGTGGAGAGACTGATTAAGTGTTACCTTAGTGTTTCTGACCTGTTCTACCTTTCACCCACTGAGCCTGCCTGTTCCCGTCTGATCTGTTTGCCTGACTCCTGCTATGAGACTCCTGAGCATGTCCTCTACACAAGCTTTGGCTTTGCCCTCTGGCTTATCCTGCCTTCCTTCGTCTGCTTGGATCTGATCTACTGCTTGTTTTCCCTCCTCTGGGACTACAGTGTCTGGGACTCTATGAGCCGCATATTGTCGTCAGCTGGCCGGCTGGAATTAACCTAGTTCTCTGGGCACAGACTGAACTATCAAACTAGGTCAGTGACTCACGTGTTCGTAATCATCCTCCATCAGATTAACGTGGTCACTAACCTGTGTTTTCCTGCCTACCTAAGATTTCCTTGATGTATATGCAGATCTGCCGTTTTTAAATAAATGCTTTTAAATTATCTGACTGCTTGTCTGCCTTGAATACTGGATATGACCCTTGATGATCTGAGTAATAAAAACGTAAATAAAAAGTTCTTTAATTTTGTATCAGTGCATTACTGTACATGGACTCATGATCTCATGAGATTATGAATTGTCTACTTCATCAATCCTCAATCTAACTAATACATTAGTGTATCTCTTAGTCATGTTAATTGTCCTGCACAGATCTGTTAATGACGGATACTATTTAAGTAGTTTGAAGCAGAAAAACATCCAAATCTTGCAGGCCATCTGCTTCGAGGATAGGAGTTCCACATGGCTGCATTTGAATCTCCTATTCTTTCATTTCCAGCAGCAGAAACGGGAATCTAGCTCTGTTTTCTTTTCCAGTCAGGGCAGCAAACAGCCGAATGAGGTGTTCTCACAAAAATATACACCTCTTCCCCTTTTTAGTTTCCACACATACAGAGGCAGACACACCCTTTCCGAACATCCTAAACTTCCACAGGGGTTTCCTCCTCTTTGCTAACATTCCTGTCAGCTACCTAAGCAACATATGCACCAACACACAGTCACTCGAAGACCCCCAAAGGGCTGCAAGTACATGACTCACTAAAGAAAACAAGTCCATACGACACAATGTATGGCATTTTTTTCACTGACCAGTTAATATCTAAAGATTGTACCTCTTAAATGATCTAAGATAAATTTAGAAATTTAAAATTAACTTAAATAGGGAATGATTGTCTTTTAAACATCTTGAATCAGGAGCAAATTTAATCAGAAAATGCAGTCGGGATTTTTTCTGCCCCCTTTTCCTGTCATTGTGTTGATTGTCATTAAGGACTCTTACAGCAGCAAAAGAACATGAATGTATAATGTTGATGCAATGACCCTACAAAGATTGTTGGTTCCCATAAAACACTGATGTTAAAGGACTTTTTGTGCTGTTCGCCACAGAAATACTCAGGTAGCTTCAAAAAGGTCGGATTAATGAGGATAATGTAAAAAGTGTAAAGATAAAATAAGACCTTGCAAACTAAACATTCTATGCTACCCTGGAGCTTCAGTTGGTGATTAATAACTCTCTATAACTCTGTAATAACCCTGAACCCGTTAATTGTCTTATCTTCAAGTTTTCATCCACTATCTGATTGATTCTTTGAATTTATTTAATGCTCTAAGTTCTTATTTTGATAATTCAATAGGAAAATATAATTATTTGTTCTCAAACTATCCTCTTTGCCTTTTTGCTCTGCCTCTGTTTTACTCAAAATTATAAATTGGACAGATTAATTTTTAAGGATTCTTTTTTAAGACAATGCATTTATTTATTAACAGACTTCTCAGGTGTTTTTCTAGGTAACTGTATTTCTTTCTGAGCACAGAAAGTTGCTAATTGAGATACAGCCTTTACTAATTGATCTAATTAGTATTAGGTGCACTGTGAGCATTAATTAATTTCACTCTACATGTATATCTTAACACCAGAGACCTAAGTTTGGCTTTTTATATCCACTGCTGACAAGCAAGACACATTTCAGATTTATAAATGTATTTACTTGTAAACAAATAGCTTGTTATCTGTCTAAAAGCTCTTGATTACATTTTCACCTTAACATAAAAAAGTAAATAAGGCCAACAAAATAAACATGTGATTTTTGTTTCATTGCTGCAAAGTCAAAAACCAGATTCATATCTTGAAGGTCTTAAAGGCTTTATTTGGTACAATTATTGTATACAACAGAAGAGATCAATTTACAGCCAGAGCACCCTTTTCAAACACATAAACAAACCAATTTTTTCTATGTAGAAAATCTAAAAATGATCCCTGTCAAGCAGATTTAGAAGCATCTCTTTGACACTTCTGGGAAAACCCTGGTTTTAATTTCTTATATGACTGCTGAGAAAATTTCCTTTGATTTAATCCCAAAGTCATGGGTGTTTTCTTTATTCTCTCAGATAATTATTACCAAAAGGCCTAAAGTTATTGCTTGATTCCAAAAAACGCTGGTCTCTCTCTGAAGTATTTTTGTGTCACAGTAAATCAAATTGTGAAAAAAAACTGCTCAGTGTCAACAGAGAAGAATGTCAAATGCAGATGTAGAAACTTATTCTTAATCGTTCACTTGAACCCCTGTTTCTCAGTAAGTCTATCTCGTTGAAGTAAAATTGAAAGACGTTATTACTCTTGCTCAGTCCTAACTCACTATGGCAAAATGTGACTGGTGGCTCCGTAAGAGATTCTTGATTTTGTTCCACTGTTTCATGTACTTTAAGGAACAAGAAACAAGCAGCGTCGTCAAGACTAATGCACAACAGATGCAGGCTCAATCTTTCAAGGGAGGCTTCTTGTTTTCCTTTCCCTGTATAAAAAAAATCTACAGCAGAACAGAGGGAACATTAAAGCAGCTTCTGCTGTAGGTTCTTAATTGACAAAAGTCAATGTTTTAACCTCTATAACTTTACAGTGTATTCTAAACAAATGGTTAGAAAATTATTCAATTTAAAGTGAGTCATTAAAACAAAACAAACAAAAAAGTGAAATTGAGTATGATTTTCTTTCGAAAACAATTTCCTTAATTGCAAACTTAGAGTGAGGTTACCAATTAGCCTAGCTTAAGTGTGATACTTCTCATGACCTGTTTTATTAGAAACATAAGAAAAGATCAAAGGGCAGCTGAAATTTGTTGATTTTTGGAACAATTTTGAATACTTAAAGTTAACGTTGGAAATTAAAGCAGATGTTTGCAAACATTACTCCAGTTTTTGTCCGTTAGCCAAACAAGGCTAGCTAGCACCAACACACCAACACAAAATATAAAAAAACACTTCCAGCAAGATAGCTGGAAAATCGTGTCAAATAACCTTCTTATCAGAAAAATAAGAAAAATCACTTTCCTTCTATACAAAAACATATTTCAACATTTTAGATTGAAAAAAGTGTTATATCTTCTATACAGCTGTTACATTAAATGCAGTGCAAAGAGAACAGTTCATAGTTTAAATCTCTCTTTCACAAAAAGCACTGAATCAATATATACAGTAATGACTACATAAAACCAAAATTTCTAAAAGAAATACACATTTGATGTACAGTATGCCCATATCTGGTTGCAGGGATTCAAACAAGTTACCAAAATAGGCTATGAATTACTTTAGATCCTGAGATTTTATCATTTGCACACATAACTTTGGAAATGTGTTTTTTGGTCATAAAACATAATCTAAGAGGATCTGTCATCAGATAAGCCAGTCTTGAAATCATCATCACAAGATATCTATTTATGGACAGAAAAAAGAAATGTTTTCATTTTCAAAACCCTCTTATTTAACGTTTGACACAAAACTCTTATATGAACTAAGCCTAAAATGGGAATGGGATGGATCACATGGGGAAAGAAAACCCACCCCGACTTGTAAAACATCCTGAAAGTTTGTGGGAGACTTTAGCGGTCTGTTCTGGGTTAGTGGCCAGGCTTTTCTGACAGTATTTCTAAGACATATGAGGAGACTGGATAGAGTCCCCCCTGCAGAGTGGATTTTTCACCCTTTCACATGTTGGGCTGTGAAAAACTCTGAAATTTAAACTTACATTCTGGGGATATGTATATTGAAATAGACATGGTAGGATTAGTCATCAAATAATTACTAGTATTACCAGCCTTATGACACTGGAATTTACTTAAAAAGATTGAACTCACAGCAAAGTTGATAAGAAAGCTGTGTTTCACTCAAAAGGCATGAGGTTTCAGATTCAAATGTTATTTTTTTCTATGAATATTTCTTTTTTTTTCCAATTATGACAGATTATAAACGACATTTTGACCACAAGGATATAGAGAGATGTAACAGCTGTTGGTCGTTAATGTGTCTAATTGCAGAATATATAACATCTAAATGATCAGATTCTGTTTTCTGCCTAAAGTTAGACTACCAAAAACCAAAAAAAACAAACAAGGAAAAAATACAGTCTTTGTATGTAGCGAATAGTCTTTTAATGTTGATTAAATCTTTCAGCATTATCTGTCTTTGATGTCTGATCCGGTCTTTACAATGAAAACTTTATAAATAATCTCGAAATAAAAAAAGAAGTCAGAATATTTAATATAATTTGGCCTTCTGTCTGATAAAGGGCCAAAACCCAAGGTCAAACAAGATTTTTTCACATTTAAAAAGATAAAAACTAATGGTAATAATATAGAAATTAAACCCTATAATGTCAAAATTGTTTTAGATGAATCCAACAGAGAAACATTTAGAGTAAACGCTATGTAGGCTATGAGATCCTGTATTCATCCAGTTATACAGGCACTGTAATAAACAGCACTGCTAGCGTCAGACAGAGCAGATATCAGAGGGCTGCTCCCATCATCACAGCCACCATTACCACTCATAATACTGCTGGCATCCCTATTGATAACACTGCTAACAATACTGTTACTGCCTCCAACAGTGTTATTACACCCACCCAGAACCTTTAACCCACCTCCACACCCTCCAACAAGTCCATAGGACTCCTCTCGATTCCGTCCCATATTGACATACTGGTCAAATTCATGCCTGTCCACCTCAGACCAAAACTCAGCAGAGGAAGACCCAATCTGGCCACTCGTCTCCAGATTGGGGTGGTCTGAGTGTGCAGGACGACCAAATGTGGATGCAGGGAGGATGCAGGAGGAGGAGCAGGATGGGGAAGAAGTTTCAGGAGGGGGGGAAAGCTGTCCCAGATGTGAGGGAGTGAAATGTGTAGTATTAGAGGTAGAGCTAGCATACATTTGGTTCAGGTAGCCAGCAGGAGCTGTGCTTAGAGTTGTTTGCTGGCATTTTACTGGCTCAGGGAGGCTAAAGGAAGGACGAGGATAAGATACAGGGGTTGAGGAAGCATTTAAAGTTGGGGGACATTTCACAGGAGTCCTTAAGGTGACTTGATGACTGAAAGCATGAGCAGGCGTTATCTTAGAGCTGACAGAGCTAATGCTTGAGGTCAGATTTAATTCAGCAGAGCTTATTCTAGAATCAAGTCTGGAAGTTCTGTTTGGACTAAGACTCACATTCAACCCGCTGTTTAAACTGGCACTAACACTGATGGAGTTATGGTGACTGTGGTTGTTATAGTGCTGGCTGTAATGTGGGTTGTGATGATGAAGCCGGTGGTAACCACTCCAACCCCCCATCCCTGCCTCGTCTTGCATGTGCTGGGGGAAAAACACAGATTCCCCGGCTCCATCTTCCAGAACATCCAATGGAGACATCTCTGGGGTGGGTAAGCCGTAACTCTCCAGCTCTGCGTGTCCTGGGGTGGAAAGGTCTCTGAAGTGCCCCAAAGATGGCAGCAGCTGGTGTGAGTGATGGTGGTGGGAAGTGTGGGCCGGGTGCACATAAGCAGATGCACCAGATACAGTTTCAGCAGCCAAAGGACCGATGCAGGAACCCAACCCAAGGCCAGGGGCCCCACCTTGAGCTAAGCTGTGCAGCAAGAGCCCAGGTTCAACTCGCTTCAGTTTCTTAGTGGTCTTTTTACGCCGTGGTCTGTACTTATAGTTTGGGTGATCCTGGAGATGTTGAACACGGAGACGTTCAGCTTCTTCTACAAATGGTCGCTTGTCTGTAGAGCTCAGGGCCTTCCAAGACTGACCTGAAAGATGTGGTCAAGGAATAATGTAATATGAATGAGACAGAAATAAAAGTATTAACCAATTTTTAATTCCTAAATAATATATCAAAATGATCAGGTAAGACCGTTTCGCATTTCACGCCATTGAACCTTAAATCTTCTTTTTCTTTAAAACCTATAACAATGTCATGCATTGTAGTTTCATCTTTTTTGAAAATGTTCATTTATGTAAATAACAATGCATTGAATTCTATACTTCTATTGTAAACAAATACTCTAAAAGCAATTTTATGTGATCAGATTTAGAAATTGAAGAGAAAAAAGAAAGAAAGAAATGTAACTTTATTGATCTCACAATGGAGAAATTAACTCCTTGCATTAAAAAAAAACCCTGACAAACTTTAAATTAAATTCAGACATCAACAGATGTCTTTATGTAAGTACTTTTTAAATTCTTTATATTTTCAAGCTGTTTAAGTGCATCGTCATCTTTTCTATGTCTATCAAAATATTGAAGAATTGAACCTGATGAATTTACACTCTGCATTAAGTTACATATTTACAGTTTGTCTTGTGGTTGTACATGCTGACTGCTTCCAGATCTGCAAAACAAACTTTTTTCCAGAAACTTGCGGTTTGGATTTGGGGGACTTTGAACATTTCAAGCTGCAGATGAACTCCAGCTGTACAGTGGAACTGCACTGAGCAACCCCAAGGTTTACAAATCAAAGTTTAACGTACAACTGAAAACTACAATAAAAATTATATCTTTATAATTTGATTTTATTACTTATTGCTGTTGCATTTCATTGCAAGTCTTCACTTTCTGGGTAATTTAAAAGTGTTAGTTTAAACAGAAATTATGTTCTTTTTTTTATCCCTTGCATTGCTTAGTTAGATTGTGAGTATGCAGAATTATAGTCAGCATACTAAAAAATGAGTGAAATAACTGTCAATTTTCACTAAGTTTTTTTTTTTTTAAATATTATATGCTAACTTTTTTAAGCAATGACAGAGCCAGCAAATAAAAAAAAGAGATGCACAAATTACTCTATCAGTGTAAAAATTCTAACTAAAATGAAATGATCGGTAGGCTACTATAGAGGCAGGAATCAGTTACACTGATATTTACAATGGACAATTTCCCTCCAATCAGCTTTGATTTTTGACAAATTAATGTGAAATCTGAAAAATCTAATTAAATTTTTGATTCATCAAATGCATTATGAAGAAGGACACTTTTATTCACTAAATGCATCAGTCAACAGAATATACTTTGATACACTGCTCTTGAGCTCAATGGAAATTAGATAAAGTTTTGATTATGCTTTTGTTGCATAAATGGAGATTATGATGTAATTCAATAGTTTTCCTTTAGATTTCAAACTCTCACCTGTGTCAAAGAAACTGTAGCACATATTTACTCATTTATTTGGTTTATTTCTGGTAATTTGGTCAAAATTGTTAGGTGAGATATTGAAGAAATACCAAGAGGGTAAAAAGTAAATAACCCTTAATGGTGCATGTTTAATATTGAGCTGATTTCAGATCCTCAATCTTTATTTTCATATTCCTAAAATCACAGTTTGTTATGCAGATTTAAGCAAAGAGGAATTCATTATTAAAGTGTGAGGAACAAATGAGCCATTGATAGGTTTAACCATGAATATGGGTTTTGAATAAACATTGATAAGGCACAGACTTAAAAAGAATGCATTCAGATGCTTCGCTCATAAAAGCTAAGTCTCCTGCTTGTCTTACCAAGCATTTTGCTGAGCACAGCGTTGTGAAGGTCAGGGTTCTGCAGGGCCAGTCGCTTTCTCTCATCTTTAGCCCAAACCATGAAGGCATTCATCGGTCTGCGGATCCTCTGCTCGGCCCCTGAGGCTTTTTCATCACCAACCCCAGCTGACACACCTCCTCCCTGGGTCAAATCAGGGCTTTGTCCCCTTGAACTGGCTGTCAGAGTCATCCTTGGTTCGGATCTCCGCACCTCTCCAGGGGCATCGGGAGAGCTGCAGTCTGCCGAGAGGCTCTCTTCAAATTCCATTTCAAGATCTGAAGCAGGACTTGGGGTCTCTGATGTCCAGCGTCCTCCAAATGACATTTGGCTGGGATGCAGAGAAGTCTCTCTAGGCAGGTTGGGCTCAGTTAAATTCATCCTATTGCAGCCCTAACTTTATGTCCAGCAAATTTCTGCTTTCGTTTGTTTGAAAATTTCAAAATGTTTCAGATGGCAAAAAATTGAAGAATAAAAATAGGAATTTGATGAATTTTGTGCACAAATCCTAAAATAAAGCATTTAGATCTGAGAGGAGAGGGGGAAAGAGGGAAAGACAAAAACAAACAAGTTGTGGTGTAGAATATTCCCTCTGAAGAAAAAAAAATCCACAGTGACTCTGCCTCTTTTGTCCACTTTCTTTTTTTTCCAAAAGACAACAGCTCTTGTTTGGATTTTGCGGTTCAGCAGTTGATTTCACTCAGTCAGCGAGGCCGTCCGACAATTCGTCTCTCCGTGTCTCTACTATGTTTGAAAGTTTTGAAACTTGTGGCTAGATTTAACCGACCCACGCTGTGTATATATACCCCGCCCTGACCAATCAGATAAATATATAGCTGGGACCTTAACCAATGAGATGCCAGAGGGCTGCAAGGCAAAGAAATTAGTCTGTGTCCAAGACATAGTTAAGGGGGTGTTTGTAACTTTGCCTCCCCCTTTTTCCTTCTCAACGGCCACCCTTTCCTCCCCTTTGGAACTACACACACACAGAAACAAGGACACACACTCCCTGTCCGCCTGTTCAGGGAGATGTAATCGGCGAGGTTCCATTGTTTTTACCCAACTGAGACCAGAGCGTCTCTTTTTCTCTCACACACAAGCACACCCTCATCCCAACATACACACACACATAAAAACACTAACATCTTCTGATGTACGGCATAAAACAAGCAGATGTCACATTTATAATTAACCCTGCCAGCAAATGACAGGCAAAAACACAATGATACATTTAGAGATGGCATGTAAATATGCTGTATCTGTGTTACTAGAGCCGAAAATGTGGGTGAGTATGTGTATTTGAGGGAAGGACAGTGGTCACACAGCCGGCCGCAGACCCAACCAGAATGATTAGTGGCAGAGATTAACAACAACTCACTGAGAAAATGGGGGACCTGGAGGTGGCGTTGTGTGTGGGGGTGTTTAGGGTGATGGTAATGATGACGCTTGGGACATTATGTTCTCTGACAGTAGACCCTACAGCTGTCATTAATGCATTTTTTTTATAGTTCTAAGGCTAAGTTGCTACAGGTTGTTATTCAACATTCCATTTATCGATTTTCAGTATCATTGAAATGTATTTTAATTTTTATAACAACTGTGTGTGCAAACAGACATTTGAAATTCATGGATAGCATGTTAACGACAACTACTGTTCACACACAGAAACGGTGGTGGTCAGAGTCATGCACAATAGAAACAGAACAAAGCATTAGTTAGGACTGTTTGAGAATATTCTACTTAAAACATGAATTTGTTTATATATTTTCTCTATAAAACTATAAAAAAAAAAAAACCTTCACTCGTACAGCATAACTCCTAAAAACAAATGCACACACACACAAACAATGACACACATTTCCCTCCCCACGCCCAGCTCCATAGGAGACTCCAGTGGCGTCTCAGAACCTCCTGCTTGACCAACCAGGAACTACTCCCACGTTGTCGTCTCAGGCCTGCTGTCATAACTTTGTGTGTGTATCTGTGTGTGTGTACAGGCAAAGCATCAGAGTCTATGCTGTGAGTTACTGTAAGTATTTGTAGGTGGGACACTTTCAGTATCAAACCTTTGGCTTCTCTTTGCGTTTCCATCCTTGTCCGACTTCCTGTGAGCCACAAAGATTAAATGTGAATCAGGTTTTACCAGACTCCCTTTTGTTGTATTTACAGTACTCAGAAAAAAAGTGTTTGCCCCATTAAAGAGTCACTCTTAAATGTTTGAATTATGAAACTAATTTTATATTCGCAGAAAGATAACTTGAGTAATTACAGGAAATCTTTTCGAATAAGACAAAATAGCTATGTGGAATCTAAATACAGTTTAATTCTATTTTCAGTCTGGAAGACCCTGTAGCCTCTTTTCAGCTAAAAATTGTGCATTAAAGCGTGTTTTTCAAACATAGGTCAACCCGCTAACAATCAGCTTTTTGGCTCCATTCTCATCGGGGGTCTAACCCCCCGCTGGCAAGCTGCGTGGCCTGTGTCCCCCCACAGCTGTGTTTCTGGTGACACCATCACGCTGTGTTAGCACTGATAGTGTAACCAGTGCAACAGAAATCAGGAAAGTAAACAATGGAAAACAACAAGTAAGGAAGCCAGGGCATAGTAAGTGTGCCTTTTTGTTTCGGGGTTTTATCTGTCCGAATCTCTCCCATCAGCGATGCACCATGTATATAGAATGTAAACAGAGTTGTTTTGGCTTGTTAGATCAGACACGAATGACGCAGAGTGTTGACATCCGTTCGTTGTGTTCAATGGTATCATGTACTGTAAATTAGCGGGTCCACTCAGTTCTGATGTTCCCACAGCATGTCTCTTGCCGAGTCCTTTGACCCAGGTAGACACACATAAGTGACCCTTTCCAATGCCCACTAAAAGCCGATTTTTCTGTTTTTTTGGCCAGTGGGAAAATGGTATATGAAGGCTCACCTGCAACTTAACATCGCCAACTAGTCTCCCTCTGCCAATCTTCTTCTACTCTCCATGCCTCTGCAGCAGTCAATAATATGGTGTGCAAGGGATACTTTCCCAACAAATTCAAAAGGTCAAAAAAGGTAAAAAAAATTTTAAGAAACCATTAATGTTAGGCTAGAAAACACAAAGTTGGACTAGCAAACACAAAACTGAGAGTAGCACACCAAAAACATTCATAGGAAAAATGCTGCAAATAGTGATATGATGGTCCCTCGAAACTTTCGGCTCAAACAAGGAGAAGACTGGTCAGAAATGCAGCCAAGAGGCCCATGATCACTCTGGATGATCTACAGCTGAGGTGGGGAAACTCTGTCCATTGAACAACAATCACTCCTATACTGCACAAATCTAGCCTTTATGGAAGAAAGCCATTTCTTTTAAAGTTTGGGAGACGCACCAAACATTTGAAAGAAGGAAAACCTTATATTTGGTGTAAACAACACATATTGTCTCCCAGCCCCATTGTCCAACATGTTGGTGGAAGCATCGTGGTTTGGGCCTGTCTTTCTTTAGTAGGGACAGGGATGATGGTTAAAATTGATAGGAAGATGGATGGAGCTGTTGGAGTTTGCAAAAGACCTGAGACTGGGATGGAGATTTATCTTTCAATGTGACAATGATCCAAAATCTACAATGGAATGGTTCACAAATAAACATATCCAGGTGTTAAAATGGCCAAGTCAAAGTCAGGCCTGAATCGAATGGAAAGAACTAAAAACTGCTGGTCACAAATTATTGGCATCCAACCTCACTGAGCTCGAGCTGTTTTGCAGGACGAATGGGCAAAAATTTCAGTCTCACGACATCTATTCGTTTGGCACAGACAGCAAAACTGATAGAAACATACCCCAAGCCACTTGCAGCTGTAATCACAACAAAATATGGAAAAACAAAGTTTATGGAACTATTATTACTTTTAACTCAAGGGGGCTGAATAATTTTGGACACACAATTTTTCAGTTTTTTATTTGCTAAAGAAATAAAAAAAATATTAAATTAATTTCGTCTCACTTTATGATTGTGTCCCAATTGTTGATTCTTCACAAATAATTGCAGTTGAATAATCTTTATGTCTGAAGCCTTAAATGTGGTAAAAGTTTGAAAAGTTAAAGGGGGGCAAACACTTTTGCAACGCTCTGTAGAAGCTCTTCCTATATGATGACACAGTCCATGGTAAGCACGGTCAAGCTACTGTGCATCTGAAATCTGTAACCCATCCCCCTTCACCACCTCTACCTTTGACTCTATCCAGTTACCTTCTTTCTTCATCTTCCACCATCACGACCCAAGGATAAGGTCTGTCCATATATATAAATATGCCCATTCTTATCATCATCAGCCATGCCTAGCTCCATGTCTTCTGTAATTGCCCCATATAGTCATGACTCTCTTAGTTTTGCCAACTTTTGCCATTAAGAACACCTGGCAATTATAAGCAAAACATGTAAAAAGGTGGCAGCAACTCACATTCCTCAGCTGGTTCACCAGAATACATGACATGACATCACTGAATTCAACTGCAATTGCTGTTCTGAAATTCACACATTGTACCCTGCTGTATGTTCAAAGAGGAATGAATTTATAAATATAATACTGATCCAATTTAGAGAACGAATAATATTCTTTGATTCAGTTGTGAACTTCATCTTTTTCTTCTATGTTTTATGTCAGGCTTTATTAATGTCCCTTTCCAACAATTTCCGTTGCTTAACAAGTGGAATGTGTCTGTGAGACAGTGCCATAGTACCACACCTTTGCCACAGAGGAAATTTGGCAGTGGCTGCAGACTTTGTGGCGAAACAGAAAAGAGAGAGAGGCAGCAAATACAGGGAAAAGACATGATGAGGGGCGCATATTTCCTTACATCTTCTGATAATTCAAGAACACCCAAACGTAAACCCATACACTCCCTCACACATACACACTACACCCATAACAAACAAATACAAACAATCAACATCATTTTAGACAACAGGCCAGGAGACAAAGGTTGTAATGGGCGAGTTTGCTAGTGTGTCAGTGTGTTTGCGCACAGGCAGTGTGTTTATGTGTGGGAGAGGTCATGTTCACACAACTTTCTATTTTTGAACACGGTGAAGGAGGGAAATGTGTGTGATGATGGATGGGAGACACACACATACACACCGTTAACATGGGTCAGCGGGAATCCCCCACCTTTATCACTCATGAACTCACACACACACAGAGTTTGCACAAATGACTAGATTGTATCGCCTCTCTGTTTTGGATACAGGATATTTGAACCTTTCTGAACACCACATTAAAAAGGATTCATCATAAAGGGGATCCTTTTTTTGTAAGTGATACAAGCAGGCATCACTGAAATGCTGGAAAGTGCAACTTTTCTCTACATTGCTGCATAGACAGACTAAAAGTCTCTACATAGCAGCTATTTTGAGATAAACATGTTCTTTTAAAATATATTGAATAGGAAAATCGACAGATTTTTAACTTACATTTATTCTGTATCAAACATAATTTACTCTAAATTTTTCAACCTCCTTCACCTTTACTTCAATATATAAGAAAACGAGAGCTAAACAATCAAATATCTTGGGTTCATCCTGTGTTAAATCATGCTTTTACATAGTTCTCATTTTAAGCACTGGATTCAAGGAAAATAAATAAATGATATAAAATCAGTGAATTGTTACATCATGTTTCATCTTATGGAAGTGAGAGGAGTCCTCAAAGTTAATGGTTAATCTTTAAAAAGCTATTTTATCTTTTAGATTTTTGGAGACATGCATAAAAAAACACAAACTTGACAGAAATGTTTGTAATTTAGTTGTCCAATTG